AAAGAAGTAGAGGAAAATGACAATAGTAAGGATCAGGAAAGAAAAAGCAGCAGTTCCCTTTTGTAGATCAGGCATAGTTATGATTATGAGCGTGACATGAGTCAGCCCATTTACAATTCTACTATGCTTGAACGAGAAATGTCCCCCCTTTGGGAATGGCCTAAAGACACTACAGTCAGTGGCACTGCCCCGGGGGTTTCAGGGCAAGTGAATCCTAAAATGTTAGCAGATTAGAAATGACTGTAGGTTAGTTACTAGAAATGTGAAGCATGCTGACAAAATAAGTTGCTTCTAGCAATCCAAGAATGGAAATATCCGCCAAAAATTGACACTGGGGTCAGATTAATAAATATTCAATTGACGTCATTTTTTTCAAGTCTACCGTGTCATTTACTATTCCACGCTTACAAATTGTACAAACTTCAGCTATGAAGTTGAAGTACCAATTTCCATTTGGCTGAAATCCGAGAAGTAACTCATTTAGTCAGCACACCTGACAAATGTTCCAGAACTTGACTACCGTAGTACAATGAAACATGAAACCATGTACCCATGAAGCAACAAGTCAAATACGTATAAAATAACTGCCATTTTAAAAAAAAAGTTCAAACTCATTATTTTCAGAATCTGTTATAAAATCCTAAAAACATATCTTGTAAATTAGACCTAATAGTTAAACTTCACTATCATGTTCGTGTACAGTATCCAGAAATACATAATATGTGATTTTTAAAACTTTTTTTTAATAGTAGAGGGTTTTACGGCGCTCGCAACTATAATATATGAGGCGTGTTGACAAAACGAGTTACTTCTCGCATTCTACGAATGGAGATGTAAGGGAAAATAGACACATTAAACTTGTAAATTTTAAACTGATACATTTACATTTTTCTTCAAGTTTAATGCCTTTTATCAGTTCGTATGCTAAATTACACCAACCAAAACTGTAACTTTGATAAAATCTATAATATGTGTTTATAAGACCAGAATTCGAAAAGTAACTCATTTTCATTTGTCAGCATCCTACACATATAAACTGATGTATGAGCCCTGAGCCCTGAAGAAAAAATCTGTTGAAAATTTGTACTACATTTTTATAGACTATTTTTGTTGTCTCCAAACCAGGGGCGAGGCTGACTTGTTGTAGGGCAGGGTACTCGGTGTCAGAGAAACAGGATGTAGATGAAGCCACACAAGAGAAAAGCTTTCCCTCAAACATGTCGTTAGCTTAGAAGTTAGAATTACAAAGAAGTTGTTCCTGATTTTCAGTTGTTGCCCTTTTTGAGTTGCTAAGACCACGGGGTCAGAAACCTCAAGTTTTATCTGCTCTATTAAAATCGTAAGATTATTCGGAGTCGCTTTCAAGGTATTCAAAGAACTGCATTCGAAAAAGCCTGACGTGTTGTTAAAGTAAAAAAAAAGCGCTCATATAACCTTAGGCAGTTGCGAGCGCCGTAAAACCCTATACTACTTAAGACTACTACTACTACTACTACTACTACTACTACTACTACTACTACTACTACTACTAAAAGTCAAAAAAAAAAAATCACGTCACATTTCTCAAAACTATGTACTGAGTAGATAAAACGTTGTAATTGTGAGGTAGCAACAAAACACCTATTGTCCTGATCCTTCCTCTTGCTTTTTTTGTGCGTTGGTTAAATTCTTGTAATACCCTCTAATATCCGGTATTTTTATGACCGGATACTGTCTTTTTGGAAGGGCCGCCGTAAAACTCTTACTAAAACTAACTAGCCTAACAAGCAGTGATAACAGTACACAAACCGACCATGCACGTACCTGGCTTCTCCTCTAAATTCAAACTGCGTTCAACCCAACGAGCTCAGGACAAATTATGCATATATATCTGTATAGTATAATCACCTTTGTTCAACCCAGATCCTAGTTTGGAGTTGGGAGGTGTTTGGTTCTGTTCAGCCTCTTTTTAGCTTGAATCTCTGCTCTCTCTCTCCTTGTCGTTAGCCGCCTCGTAGTCTGGTTCATGACGGGGGCAGAGGTATGAGGAATAAAAGACGAGGCATCGTGGCGAAATCAGGCGCTCGTTAAAATAATAAAATCAAAGAAATTGGCTTTTTTAAAAAGTCAGTTGGGCAATTTAAGAAAAAAAATTGTTTTGGCTGAAAACCTTTTATGTCCATTTAATAACACATTCTGTGTGGGTCTCGCTGAAAAAACATTGATCAAATGCACCAAAAAAAAATTTTTTTTTCAGTGTTACCAAGGACACTTAAGCTTTGGGAAGTCTCCAACTTTGGCGACCATATTATTTTTCACGCTAATTTTACCTCGATAACCAGGTGACCCTCACCTCAAATAATTGCAAATATCTGAACTTCAATCCAAGATAGATGGGTATTTTTAAAATAATATTTTTTAAAAAAATCTAGAACTAGATCTAGAGTAAGAAAAATACACAAGCGAGATCTATAAGATGGATGCCAATAACTTCAAAGCCCTGGGAATTGACGAGCGCCTGATTCCACTACGTCGTGATACGCACACACCCTTTGTGGTGGAAGATTCCACAGATCCAGGACGTACGTCATGCATGGACACACACCTAGACACATACAGCTTTTAACTTTAAAATCTTTTTTGAAAACACCGCATTCTACATGTTGATCCAATTCCACGTTTTGATGGGTAAAGAAGCAGTGAGTATTATCTATTAATGTTATTTACTGTCATTATTATTGTTGTTATCATCATATTGTATAATTGCTACATGTATTATTATTACTTTTATTATGTTGTTGTTGTTATTACTATTATCATTATTATTATTA